TACGGTACAAAGCTGATAATTACCGTATACAGTACACTTTAATACAGGGATTAACTTAACAATAAAGTATCAAATACGGTACAAAGCTGATAATTACCGTATACAGTACACTTTAATACAGGGATTAACTTAACAATAAAGTATCAAATACGGTACAAAGCTGATAATTACCGTATACAGTACCCTTTAATACTGGGATTAACTTAACACTAAAGTATCAAATACGGTACAAAGCTGATAATTACCGTATACAGTACACTTTAATACAGGGGATACTTTAGTGTTAAGTTAATAAATACGGTACAAAGCTGATAATTACCGTATACAGTACCCTTTAATACTGGGATTAACTTAACACTAAAGTATCAAATACGGTACAAAGCTGATAATTACCGTAAACAGTACCTTTTAATACAGAAATCAACTTCATATTAAAGCATTAATAATTACCGTATACAGTACCCTTTAAAACAGGGATTAACTTAACACTAACGTATCAAATACGGTACAAACCTGATAATTAGCGTATACAGTAACCTTTAAAACAGAGATTAACTTAACACTAACGTATCAAATACGGTATAAACCTGATAATTAGGTATGGATCAGAGATGTTTGGATGATACGTTCTGTCTGTCATATATGGATCAGAGACAATCCACTGAGAGAGACTGAAGTCGCCGTAGAAGACCCGGTCATCTTACTTCCGGTTCTGATCGTACACAATTTAATATCATTTTAGTTTCGTATTAATTCAGTTTCATTCCACTTTAGTTTCGTATTTACAACCTGGAAAACAAACAATACAGTTATAAGTGAAGTAAACTGTACTAAGCGAGTTCTTCAAACGTCTTTGATTTTTTCTTTCACGCTTCTCCCATTAAAATTCTAACTAGTTTATATGTTTCATTATTCCGGAATACAGTCCTCCCTGTTGCTCTATACCCAAGTATCGCAGAAATTTCTTGAAGAATGTATAAATAACATCAGAACAGAAAAATGTCTAGACGGCGACCAGGTTGTAGGATGTCCTGTAATCATCTAGTTGTGAATGTTGTCGTGGTAACAAAATTCAATCCTAACGAGGATACGTTCTGTCTGTCATCCACCCAATCATTGGTACAAAATAAATACAATAGGTTAATACCAACCAATCATTGGTACAAAATAAATACAACAGGTTAATATCAACCAATCATTCATTACTGCACTAAAACCAAGCGAAGTAATTTAGATGGAGTTAAAACACTATAATGTCAACTTAAATACTTTAAACTGTGAGTTAAAATATAAATTAAAAGAAATGAATCAGTTTTCCTTTGTTGTTACACAAAATAAGTCATTTATAAGTCTTCCTCATTTTGATGTAAATTTTATAAAGGAGATCATTATATGTTTGGTACATGTAACCCTATCTCTCTGCAATTACCTAATAATTAATGATACAGGTTGTTCCATGTAGTGGCAGTGGTTGCATTACAGGAAAATTGATTTGTCGGATTGCATCTTACGTTAAAAATATAATCACATGACTAAAATGTATGTACTTTTCTCTTGCAGTAAGAGACAACTCGTAGACAGCTATATTACAGAGTGTGATAGAGATAGAATTTTTGTTTTTGTAATGTAACAGTTGTTCTTTTCGAATACTTGTATGTTTAGTGTTTGAACCGTTAAAGTGATTTCTGCTACTTACGTCCACACCTTTTGTGTCTAGGATGAGTTCACACGATGTCATCATTTGTTTTGTTTTTTTATCTTTAGAATCTCTGTCAGTAGTAGGATATCTTTACATCCTGTTAAACTTTAAGAGTGTTTGTTGACTTCATTTTGTTTAGAGTCACAAATCAAAAGAGGGAGAACCTAGAGAGGATGGGAAAGCTGGCAGTGATGAGGATGAAAGTGGAGACACTACATCAAGCTGTGAGGAGGATAACGGCTGCAGTAGTGATACTGTTAGTGCTCCTAGCCCAACCAATAAGATTACAGAAGAAGGTAATGTTTGTTTCAAGATTCAGTTCTTTAATTAATTAATTATTTTTTGTAATTTGTTAAAAGTCAAATGTTTTTAATATAATCTACTAGTTAGTTCTAACGTAATCTTTACTACTACTATAACAGGTGTGGTTGTATAGAGAATGAGACTATATTATAAATTTTGATTTATTGATTAATACAAATCCTAGAAGTAAAGCACTTAAATATTTTTTTAATTGATTGGCTTGAAACAGACAAGTTGAATTAGGAAGTTTATGTTAATGGTAGTATTATATGTGGAATGTTCTGAAATGTAGAAATAAAAATGATGTTGTTTAAGAACATGATTAATGGAACTGTTCTATAACACAATTGAAATAAGTAAGTTTATTAATGGTAGTTTTTATGTATGGAGCGATTTGTTAGAATTCCACTTAAACAGTTCTGTTGTTGGCAGAGTTTACTTACTAAGAACAAGATGATTGTCAAGATAGAAAGTTGGAAAGAACATAACAGAATTATTTGTGTTTCAGAGAGTGTGACTAGATCAAAACAAGGGGAGATTGTACTAGAAGAAGCACGAAGGAAATCTGTTCCACGGGGCAGCTGTCCCGATTATGATAGCAGTTCTACTGTGAGCGCAGATGAAGGACAGGCCCAAATAGAGAATGAAATTCTTAGGACCAATGAAAGAATAACCAATCCTTCTTTGTCTCAGACTGTGTCCACCCCAGAGAATAGTTCCACTGTTAAAAATGTCCAACATTTAATGGTCACTACGGCACAATTGCAGCAACAAAACTGGGGATCTCCGGTGACCCAAAGCAGCGTAATACAGGGTAAGAACAGTTCCAAAGAAGAGCCAACTTGTGTCAGGGACTTGATTGACAAAGCCATCAAAATTAGTCTCCAGGGCTCAAATAAGAATCAGTACAGGATTTCACCTACATTTGGATCTCAGAACAAGGAGAAAAGACATCAGATAGAAAGTGGACAAGATGACATTGAAGTGTGTGTTATTCAGCAAGTACCACCCGCTGCCCACGAATCGTCGAGGCTGAGCCACGGTGTCCGACCGGTTCCCTTACCTCGAGCTGAGGGACTGGCCATGAAGGCTCAACACCTAGTGTGTGAACCAAATCAGGACCTTAAATGTGAAGTACAAGATTTGAGCACAAAAGAGAAATCAAGCACAGTTCTAGTTGCTGCTAAAGAAAGAATACCCACTTCTGTTCGGCCACCGTCTGGCTTTTCTTACCTGCCACAGCAGATACCACCCATGCAGTTTGGTGCTCCTCCCCCAGCCCATTCCAAACATTATAATTATGCTCCAGATATTCCATCTCACAGGGACCTTTATCATGGCCGGGTAGGAGAACATGTCTCCAAACAGACTTATTCGTTATCAGACTCGTTGCACTCTCAACCACCGCACCTTGTTCCCCAGCAGCCAGTTCATGGGAGTAGAACTAGCACACCACCTGTTCGAACTTTTCCTAGACCTTCAGTCCCACCTCCACCACCTCTGATTACTAATGCAAAACCTTCTTCAGCTTCTAAAGATAGGCTTGGTCATAGTGGATCAATTACCCTTGGTACACCTGTGAATCAACATACTTCAGTCTACCCAGCTAGTAGCTCTCCTCAGTATGAAGGCCTGCTGAAGCAGTTCAATCCTCCTCATGTCAAAGATGGTGGTTCAATTACGATGGGAACTCCAGTACCACCTGGCAAAAAAACTGCAACCACTCATTTACGACCAGAACCACCTTCCAACCCGTCATTTGAAGGCAGAAACATTAGATCTGTGCCATCATCAAACTCGGGAGTAGCAGTGATGTATGGTCCAGCTATTGAACAATATTATCGGAGGGTTTCTCCCTCTGGACCATACCCAGGTTATCCTCCTCCTGCTACCACATCTTCCAGGCAAACTTTTCCAACTGAACTCTCTAGTTCCAAGCAACTGATGATTGATTTTAACACTTCCAAACAGATGCAGATGCGAAGAGGTAATGTATTAGGTGACCAGGAATCCCAGGAATCTCCACAAACAAGAGATACTAGTCCTCAACAGAGTCATGTATTTACAAATGGGCCTGATTCTCGTGTACACCACTTATACTCTGGTATGCCCTATCAGCAAACAGGTTTCCAAGGACAAGCACCCCATGTTTACTCGCCTATGGGAGACACTCGCTACTCCCCTCATTCTAACACTTCTAGCAGTCCTGCAACAGGTCAGTGGCCACCTAGTACATCGCCTGGACAGCCAGCTTCTAGGCAAAATGTAATCCGTAGTATAGCATGGGGAACAGCAGGAAAACCTTCAGTTATCCAAACCTCTCCTCATGCCTCTGAATTACCGCACAATGGTCCTTATTCTATGCTTCCTCCCAGTCATGAAGCTTTTAACACACTTGTAGATGCTGCTGCAGCTCAGCCAAGTCTTACAGTCTCTAGAAATGAAAGGAGGACTCCTCTTACTAGTCCAAAAGTTAGCCGATCAGAGACAATGATGTCTCCGCATGAAAACTTCACCAGTTCATCCATGGAAATGCAACAGCGTCCAAGATCTCATCCAGATACTCTCATTTCTTCTCAGGCATCAGCAGAGCCACATAGGATAGAATATGTATGTGGAAGAACTAATGTGGATCTTAAGCCCTCTTTTAGACAGGAAGTACATGGTTACTTCAGGGACCCAAAACAGAAGGTGAAGCAGTCTTTTGAGAGTGTGAGACATCAACAGAAGCAGCCTCCTCCTTCTTCTCTCCATCTTGTTCGAGAACCGTTCACCCAAGAAAAGTTTGAACAAGAGATGAGACAGCAAACTCTGATTAATCATAACCCTGAAGGTGCCAAAGGCAGACAGCATATGGCCCTGGTAAAGAAGGAAGCAGGTTTTAGGTTTCACCCTCAACAGTTTGAAGATCCAAATGTGGCACAAAAACAGCCTGATCTTAATATGGAAGCAGCCATGATGTTATCTCAATCCTTCCAGAAAGAGAAGCCCAAAACTACAGCAACCAATAGGGGAGTAACTGCTGGTAATCTTATTGATGCCATCATCACACATCAGATAAACCAGCCTGCAGATGGAACACCTAAAAACTGTGTTCCAGATGGCCATTCTCACTACGGAAGAGATGATAGTAGTGGAAACATGTCCAGAACTCCTCTTGTAAAAGAAGAAATAGTAACCATAGATGATGGTCCTGTAAGAAGTGTGCACGGTAAACAAGAGATTCCAAATCATTGTCAGACAGAACCAAACAAGGGATTATCTTTTCCTACGAACATGACTGAAAGGAATTTTGCCTTTGGTCTACCTCGCAATGAAGTCAATAACTCAGATTCAAGTTCGTCTGAACCAAATAAGTGTTTTACTTCTTCCAGCAGCAGCCCATCTGAAAGAAATATTACCCTTGGTCAACGTATTGAAGCAATCATATCTAAAAATTACAGTCCACCCAATAATATGGAAGTTTTACAAAGTTTATATCACTCTGAAGGAAACTTTGTAGGTGATACTCCAACATCTCATCACAAAGGTTGTCAGTTAGGTCTTCCAGATCCACGAAATGTTGGAATTACTGCAGAAAGACCGTTGGAGGGCATCGCAGCAGCTGCAGCTGCTGAAGGACTACATAGAAACTATGAATTATGTCCTCCTCCTTCAAGAGATCAAAGTTCTTTGACCCCAAGCTCAGGTTATCGCAGTTGGAAGTTAAGGAAAGCTCTGCAGCAAGATAAAGAAAAAATACAACAGCCACCTAGTGGACCCCCAACACCCAACAGTCAGAATCAAGCACCCCCAAGGACACCAAGTAGGCCACATTCCTCTCCTCTAACCCCATATGGTGTGGAACCCATCTCCCCTCCATCTTCGCATAACCCCGACGAATTGACAACATCCAGCCCTCACCAACAATCTCCTCCAGCTTGGTTTGCTGGCCACGTGACCCGACAAGAAGGATCTGTAGCCAGTCCTATGAAATGTCTGTATTCTCCAGGACTACCAACCATACTCGGTGGTAATCAACACGAGCAAATGGGCTTATCGCCCCTTGACTACGTGAAAAATAAAATTGTGGAAGTGATGAGAACAGCAGCTGATGAGACCTGGGAAGCACCCAGTCGAGTTAACTCTTCTCAACAGGATCCAGGCCAAACTTTCCAAACTCCAAAGAGTGTACAAGAAAGGACAGAGCGACCTCAAAGTACAGGGAGTGCTGTTCACTTTCGAGGAAGGCTGACACCTCAGCCAGATCTTAGATACAGTCCTACTCTAGCAGGGGGCTTTTCTCACCTTCCACCTCGACCGTCTTCGGCTTCGAATAAAGCCGTGTTTTCAACAGTAGACTTTTCTCGGGGATTAAAGCGAACATTTGAGGGTGTTCCTAGCTGGAATGGGGCCACAATGAACGTCACTGGAATGAGATCAAAGTCGGCTTCTCCTATTTGTTTAGACCCAAAAAGAGAAGCTGAAAGAAAGAGAAGTAGAACAGAGAACCAAGCTCATGAAAAACGTCCAGACTTTCAACAGCTTCTTCCAAATAGTCCCAGGTGGGAAGGCTGTGAAAACAACGATGATAAGCCTACGATTTTAAACAACACTAGGACAGAACCAGTATCGCCACCCTCTGTTACAACAAATGCAAATCACCCTACCAAGACCACAGAAACACTTTCCAATCACAGTATTGAGAATGCTGTTAACCTGAAATCCTTTTCTGTTTCGTGCTCCCCTGTAGAGAACCGTTCTTCTCCATTAAACCCCTTATCCTCAATGTCAAACAGCAACCTCCACTATTCATCATCTCCAGCCAACTCCGTAGCAGGTGCCCCTGTTACCGTACCGTACCCCAACTACTCGGGTGTCTCGGCACCGTATACTTACCCATTCTCTGCCCTCACCATGCGTTCTATTAACAAATCCACATCTTCAAGTGGTAGTCCATCATCCACACAGATCCCATTACCTCGACCTTCCTCTGCTCGATCACCACTGTCGGAAAACCAGCCTGCACCTCTTTTGTCGTCTCAATACGAACCACTTTCTGATGAAGACTAGTAGTATATCCATAAAAAAAACAACAACAACAAACTATTGATGTTATACCTGTCCAAATGTTGGACAGTTTACACTACAGGGTTGTGCTTATTGTTTGGACAAAAAGCATTTATTTGTGTATGTTCATAGTTGTGTGTGTGTGTGTGTGTGTGTGTGTATGTATGTATGGATGGATGCTTAGCAGTCTCTCCCAGCCTCAAGATGTACATTACTGAATGGGCAGTAGAAGACGAGGAAGGTACTGTTATGAAAGACGGTCTGTATCTGAATGTATCCGTTGTACCACTGCCACTGCAGTTTAAATACTGTCGCTCAAAGAGAATGTATCTCAAACCCGTTGTGTACCGTGCCTTGGTACTGGATCTTCTAAAAAAAAAACCTAGTGAATTTTGGTGTAAGGTATCGTCGTTAGAGGGAGAGAAATCTGCTGGCTTAAAGACCGGTATTGACGACAATTTAGAAGCTCCACCTGCCAGATGAAGAGGAAACTAGATGTACATACTGGTGATCTTTACTCATTTCATGGAGTCTTATTAACGTTACATAGCTGTTTCGTATTCATACTTCAGTGACGTTTAGTAGTTGAAAAATAAAGATGTTGAAAATGATGATATTGAAAAAAAATTAGTGAGGCCTGTCATTATTTCATTGATTAAACTGATTGAGAAAAGCGTGCGGAATTTTTTACTGTTGTTGTTGTTGTCCACGTGTTTAAAACCAAACTGTAACGTTTTAACAACGCTAGCTTTTATTAGTTTAAAATATACTAAGAAAAAATGTTTGGTAACAGTAATCAGGTGCAACATTTTAAATTTGTTTTTACGTTGAATTATTTTAGACATTTAAAAATGTTTATGTTTGCGAGAAATGCAAAATAATTTTTCAGCATTTCAACATGAAATAGCTTAAGAATTATATATTGATAATAAAACTGACAAAATGATTTTGTAAATTACATAAACAAATACGTGAAATCACAGAAACGGTAATTTGTTAGATGTGTTTTAGCTGTAAAATTATCGCCGTTCTCCATATGCTTTCAAAGCACATTTTTCTTATTCTCCAAATTGTTCGTAGGTCCGTGACTTTGTTAGGTGCATAGCCCCTAATAACATACGACTCGTCTTAAAAAATTGAAACAAAAATACAGTTATTATCACAGTTAACCCTACTGATTGAGCACCTGCTGTATTTTACATAGAAAGTGAAGTATTTAAAGTTGTTCCACATAACGTTAGTTTGTCCAGTAGCCAGGAGTGGATTGGCCAACCTGTAACGAATGATATATATTGATCAAGACCTTTCGTGATCTTTGTTGTTGTTTTTAATTAAAATTAACTTAGATCAAAGATCAGCATCAACCTGGTAATGAGTATAGCTAGTTTCTACTTCTCAAGATTAAAATGTTTCATCATGTGAGTATTTTCTTTGTTAACGATATTTTTGTCCATAAACCCAGTAATATCTCACGAGATTTGGCCAGCGCAGATTTAGGTTAGTCGTAAATTCATATATTAATCTAATATTAAAAATTCTTACTAGTACTATTATTGAAAGTAACATTAAAGGAAAAATATAGTATATCTTATGAACAGACTATTAATCTCTAGTACTGTTGTAGACTTAATATTAATTTAAATCATCATTCCGAAAGACTGTCATTTGTAACATAACTAAAGCGTTTATCAAAAACTGTAAAGATCACATAACAGTTCAGAATTAAAACTTCTTTCGCTTTATATTACAAAACATTTAAATCGATCTTGTTGAAATGGAGATTATTTAGAATGCAATACAGGTTGTCCCAAAATTATATTTCCTATTTTAAAATTTAATAGTCAACTAACTAAGGAAATACAACCAGTAGTTTTCAACATCTTTCAGCCCAACTTTAACAGTTTTTATTGACACGTCAGTAGACTTCTGTCCATGTTCGCTGCAACATGTCCTCATTTGCAGTGCCGATGGCATCCATTATCTTGGTCTAGCTCCGTGATGTTCGCTATACGTGTGCGATACACGATATCCTTAACATACCCCAATACTTGCTTCCCGTACTCTCGTCTGTAACTACGCTGGAACACAATCACTGATTTGGACTCTGCAACCCAAACACCGCATTGAGCCCTTTCTTGCACGGTTGTCATTTTACAGGGTAACACAACACACTGGAGTGAAAACTTTACAATAAAAATTGTTTGAGTTGGACAACAAGATGTTGAAAACTACATGGTTGTATTCTCTTGGTTATTTAAGTATTAAATTTTAAAATATAAATGATAATTTTGGACTACTCTGTATAATTACGATCGTGTTATTGAGATTTTAAAATTGTTCTTGACCAGACAAAGATTACTCGAGAGGTGTGATGGGTTGAAAACATTTCTATAAATATATTTTTATCGATAAATTTTACAATCGGACAGAAAAACTGTGAAAAGTACAACTATTTAGTATTTATTACATTTGCTACATAAATTCATCAATTTCAGCGAATGTTACGGAAGATAATGTTTACATTAAACAAATAGTTTAACATGTATACATTCTCAATATCTACTTTTGTGATTATTAAATTATGATATAGAACGTGGTACGCCATTAAGCAACGAATATGTGATATAAAAAAAATTACTTTACAAAATAAACCTAGATATATTTCGTATAATTATGCCATCTATTGACAAAATTGAAATACTGCCAATTGCTTTTCTTTGTTGAAGAGCATTTTATGTTAACGTATAGTTTTCGGCAGTTTAATATTAAATCCATCTGTAAATGGATAACATTTACTAACAATAAATCGCACGATGCTCACTTAAAAACATTGTGTGCATGAACAGATCTTGTGCAGAGAGGAGGACTAGTCCAGTCCTCAAACAGAATGACACAACTGTTGTGATCTGGAGATGTTAACTAGGAAGTTGTGATTTTCATTCTGTAATGGCGAACCTTGGCTCTTTTTTTTTTTTTACTAAGTTTTAACGATATCAGTGTGTTGCTCTCTAGTGACTCAGCGGTAAGTTTGTTGGCTTACGACATTAAAATTAAGTTTCGATACCCGTGGTGGTCAGAGCGCAGCTACCTAACCACCGTTTGGCTTTGTGCTTAATAATAACAAAATCAAAACTCGTTGTGTTTGGCAGTATTTGTATTATCAGTCCATAGATGGCCGCTTTGTAGAACGAATGACATTGCTATGAATTTGGTGCAATTATGACCTTTACTTTATTATATGGGCTAGGAGTTGTTTAGTGGTTATCGTGGAAGGCTGATTATCGAATGGCCCAAGGTTTGAGTCTCGACTATACATGCTTTGAACTTTCAACTATGGGAGCGTCAATTCCGCCATTAGATACAAAGTTTGATCGTTGCCTTCTCTCTCTGACCCTAGCTCAAAATTACGGATGGCTATACTTAAACTCTAGTTGTCTCTGAACAGACTGTTTAATCCACGTGTCATGTTACATGAGATATCTTGTCTGCTGTCACTCAAAGGGAAATCAAAATATATACACATATTTTTAAATATTGAGAACAGTTTACCGGTGGGAGAAAATGTTAACTTTGTTACAGTAACACGTTCGTGATGCGTGGTTTGACGTTTTATTTAGTTTTGTTAGCAGAGGAACAAAGTGTTCACCCTTAAATAGAAGAATTTCTATGGAGTCCAAACAACAAAGAAATTTCCATTTTGGGATTCGTAAGAATGAAAAACAAACGTATATTGCATAGTGTCACTAATTACCCAACAACAATACTTTTCATGTGTAAATAATGTCTGGCAATTTCAGGTTCGTTGAAAGTGAATCCTTCTGGCAAAAAAAGATGTTCCTGCATCACTGGTTGCTGTCAAAAGCAGAGGTTGTTCGAGATATGTCTTAGTTTAAACTCTAAAGTGGGGTCGTTATAATGTGACGGTCAATCCCATTATTCGTTGTTAAAAAGAATACTCCAAGAGTTGGCGGTGGGTGGTGATGACTAGCTACCTTCCTTCTAGTATTTCACTGCAAAGTTAGGGGCGGCTAGCAAAGATAGCCAGACCTCGTATAGCTTTGCGCGAAATTCCGAACAAACCAAACTCTAAAGTATATTATTTTATATACGCTTGAACGGTATATTGGAAATACACTTGTATATTGTGTGCAAGTAACATAGATAAGGTGATATTGTCTTCTATATTTACTATTAAGTACACGTATTACTATATCTTACGGATACAGGTGGTTTCGATTCAGTGATATTCCACTAACTTATGTGGTAATTACTTTGTGTTCTATTTTTCGATAAACAGTTTTAACGGTTGGCATTTCTAAATGTAAGAAACACTAAACTAACTTTTTGTACGTTTATTCCAAAATACCTAATTATTAATTCATACTACATATTGTGTGTTTTAAAACATTTATAACATACATTAATAACTTTCCCTAATAGATGTCGCAACTATACCGAACCTAATGTACGGAATAGACAAATATCACATATAGTGACAGACGAAACTAAGGGAGCACCTAACTAAAAATCAGTAATATGTTAATTAAGTCTGTGTAATGTTTTTTTTATTATCGTGTTTTGGGAGTTACCTTGGACGAATGTATTAAATATTTGAATTTTAGAATTATTAGAATTTTCTTAATTTTAATTTAGTAAATTTTTCATGAGAACGTAAGTCGAATTGATCCTTCTCCCAGTAACTATTAAGAGTTTTAAGTGCATCACAGTCAAATGTTGGGAATGAGGCTCAACGATTTAACTGGAAAGGAGCACAGAAAATGGTTAGGACATAATTTATTACAGGTGTTGTTCTTAAACGTAACTTAATTCATGTATAAAGTTCTGATTTTGAATTGTACTTCAATTAATTTGCATTCAGTCAATATTTTAATATGGTTTAATTTTCTGCGCTGTATCTTAGTATTTTCGACTTAAACCAGATTATCTCTGATCGGATTTGATTAATTTAGTTAATTATTTAATTATTTCAATTAATCAAAAATAGTTGCTGAAC